GTACTTTGCCTCAGTCTTCACGGGTGGCCAGGCTTTCCGTGTCTGCCAGGACCATGAGTCTGTAGGTGAGAGTGTGGGCAGTAGTTTCTGTCCCACTGTAACAGTTGAACAAGTCTGAGTCCTCCTCATGAAATTGAACATGTATAAGTCCACATGGCTAGGATGATATCTGTCCTAGGGTTCAGAAAGAGATGGCTGATGTGGTTGCAGAGCTGCTCTCCATCGTATTTGAAATATCATGGCTGTCTGGTGAGGTCCCCAGTGACTGGAAAAAGGGAAATGTTACTCCCACTTTTAAGAAAGGGAGAAAGGAAGACCGGGGGAAATACAGCCAGTGCACCTCACCTCTGTGCCTGTGAAGATCATGGAACAGATCCTCCTAGAAGCTATGCTAAGGCACACACGAGTCAAAGAGATGATTCGAGACAGCCAGCATGGCTTCACCAAGGGCAGATCTTGCCTGACCAATCTGGTGGCACGATGTGATGGAGTGATGGCTTCAGTGGACAGGGGAAGGGCAATGGATGTTGTCAACCTGAATTCTGCAAAGCCTTTGACGTGGTCCCTCACCACATCCTTTTCTCTAAATTGGCGAGGTGCAGATTTGAAGGATGGGCTGTTCAGTGGATGAGGAATTGGCTGGCTAGACAGAGCCAAAGGGTTGTGATCAATGGTTCTATGTCAGGGTGGAGGCCAGTCACAAGCGGTGTCCCTCAGGGGTCAGTCTTGGGACCGTGCTCTTCAACATTTTCACTCGCCACTGTTTCTCTTCTAATGCTCAAAACATACTGGGCATTAATTAAGTTTGCCACTTTGCTCTATGGAGCAATAGGTATATACAGTCGATTGAAAACACTGATGAAAATATGTACTTGGTATCTTCATACAGTGTGGCATACAACTCCAGAGGGAGCTGCTAATTTTACAGGACTGGGGATTTTTAAGCAGCTTTCCAGTCCCTCCTCTGAATCCTTTATGCTCACCTGCTTGCATTGTTAATCTCCCTGAATGTATTGCTCATAATTTCAACGATCATGCATCGCGATGTGTCGGATCTCTGTAATAGGAAAGGCTCACCCTTTAGTTAACCCAGTCAGTGGTTCACACCATGGAGGGGTGGAGTGTATGGGAACTGTTGATCACTGCCTGGACCTCTGATTGACCACCTGAGGCAAACAATGATTCAGCCACAGGAGCACAGGTGAAGGCAATTCACATGTGTACCAGAAGGGGTAGAGCCTGGCTCCACCTCTCCTAGATCCTGTTTAAGTGCTGACTGCCACTGAGGAAAAATCTCTTTCTGGAGATCGCTCCTTGTGGAGTTTATTGCAAGTTTATAACACTGATGAGCATTTCCATATTATCTTTCCACCACAATAATCCTACTTAGCCTAACTTCTGTACACCTACTGATTGTACAATATGTCACAAATTTTATTTACTCAAGAGGAAAATGCAAAAGCCCTCATTACTTCAACACTATTCCAACACTAAAATCTTCCTTCATAACTCAACTGTATGTCTGGTTAGATAAGGTAAAGCTTACCATGAAATACAGGACACATGCAGTCTCAACACAATACCATGAACAGTGCCAATGTAGCTGCCAAAAGAAAAAAAAAAAAAGGGGCAGAGAACAGATGGGAATCTCTTAATCCTCTTTTCAGAAAGTCTTCCTTGACTCGACTGTAGGTAAATCGACATCTGTTGTCTTGACTCTGTCAACTGCTGAGCATCTCCCCTCTTCCCACATACTCAATTGTGAGAACAGTATTGCACACCAGTAATTCAGGTGAGATAATTCCATTTCTCATTTCAAATGTAAACTTTTAAACACCTCTCTCAAATTTCATGCTTGGCTACAGCATCTACTGCTTGCCAGTTAGGAAGAGAAGAGCTCACTTTGTTTTAATGTGGCCTAGCTCTCAGGTGATTTTTTTTTTCCTTAAAAACATACCTCTAAGCCACCTTGGACACCAGGAATGCTGAAATTCTGGCCCTTTAGCAAACCAGAAAAATTGCTACCAAATTCAGTAGTGGCAGAAACATCAGAACATTACCTTTCAGATTCAGAAGTAATTCAGAAGTGGAATTAAGCAATACAAACACCTGCATGGCTAAGAAGCATATTATTAAGGAAAATGGCAAAAAACACCGAAAGCTGCATAACAAAATATGGAGGAACGATGCTAGGGTTGTTAAAAAGCGTGACAACTTTGAATAGAAAAATGCCAGTGATTGTTCTATGAACAAGATATTGATCTAGAAAAATCTGAGAAACATATATACAGGAAAAAAAAAAGAAACTGTAATAGATCTCAGTAAAAACATGATGCTATTTGAAGAGCAAGTCATAATGCAGAAGTATAATGTAGAATTAAAAACTACCGTCCTGAGCTATTGCAAAAACAGAAGGTATGGAATGTAATTCTGTTATTAGTAAGAAGCTGATTTTTCTTTGTGTTGCTGGAAAATTTTTTTTGTTGTTAATTAACACAAAAGTTACAGTATTTACATAAAATGCAAAAAGTAGCATGGAAGTTATAACGAAATGAGTATGTAGTTTACATTATAAGTAGAGAACAAGAAATCTTTACCCCCTTGTCAGTTACACTCCCAAAGGATTACTGTCTTCTAAGACTCTATGTAGCAGTGCCACCTTGTGACCAATGCTATGACAATTTCATTTTTAAAAAAATACCACTGTATAATAGACATGCATTACATCAAGTAATAGAATTCTCCCTTTGTATTACACACATACTAAGGTTACTGTTTTAAAGTTAAGTATGTGAAGTACAAAACTGAAACATAAATACCCAACTTATAAACATATTTTGTAACATAAACACTAACAACATTTGGAAGCTGGCACCTACACATAATGGACAAAAGCACAGAACTGTTCAGTTCTCACAGTTAAGTCAGATGAAATGGGATCAGACACTGCAGAAAATTGGGGCAAAGAAGAAGAAATGCAGTCAGCCATCTCTAAGAAGATCATCAGCAGCCTCAGCTTTATTACTTTCTCAATAACACAAGATCCTAAGTAGAAACATGTATCAGAAACTCAGTTAAAATGGCAGGTCGCTTTTCCTCCTTCCTCCAAGAAAGTCTCTATGAAAGTCAAAATCCTCCCAAAAATCCAGAACTGGGCATACCAAAGTGCCAACCATCATCCCACTAGTCCCATGCACAACTCCAGTGCTATGAGAAAAGGTGGATAAATAGGTATCGACAGTGCCGTGTGGTAGAAGCAAACATTTGAACTAAAGTCCACAGTAACAAATTCAGTTATTTATGAAGTGATTGAGCCTCCTCTACAGGCATTAGGAAAGGAGCAATGAAGCAACATACCATGAACACTAAACCCAGCTCTAGGCACTTTGAACATCATACACCGACCTGCATAGAGCCAAATTCCTAAACAAAGTGAGGGTCGATTAAGCTAGCAGTGCCACCAGGAGTTGTATGACATTTGTAAAATTAGTGCCTACTACAGAAGAAAAAGAGAAAAAGTCAACCACAGAGTATTGGATAGGATAGGGGCTTTTGAACTTTAAGTTCCTCAGCTGCTACAATACTTCTCAAAAGATGGAGCATTTTTTTGCAGGTAGATTAAATGACTCAATTTTTTTTTTTATGATGTTCTGGTACTCACAAAGGCTAAGCAGAATAATCCTATTTTCTGTAAAGTGCTGGAAACTGCCCTCTCATTGTACTCACAGTAAGAGGGTAATAAAGCACTCATATGCTAAGGAAGAGAGCAAACAAAAAGAAGAAATAGTTCTTTCTCTCCACAAGAGCATCTCTCTATTTTACTTTTAGTGAGTCAAAGCTAGCATAACTCCTGGGATACAAATACAGTAAAGAAAATTAATAGTAATAAGGGGGGGATGGGTAAGGTAAGTAACCTTGTTCACTGTGAAAATACTTCTGAAACACGGTTAAAGAAAGGCAGCACAATTCACTGGAAGCAAAAACCAAGTGACTTAGGCACAGTTTTTCCATTGGCCATGACCTGTAGCTAAATATATGCAGCAGTAGTGCACAGAAATGACTGGAGTCATTTATGTATTCTTTCTGTGAACCTTTTTTCATTTGTATACTAAATAACAAAGGGACTGGTGTTTGAAAATAATGTGGGGGAAAAAAAGTGCCACACACACTGAAGACAGAGCTGTTGCCAGGAGATTCCTTCATTAGTCCCTCCCGTGGTTTTGTTTACTGGGTAATACCCTTTCTTCTCTCCATTTTCCTTTCTCTTACCCTGTTCTGGGCAATCGTTGAAAAGAAAAACTGCATATTTGTGTCCTAAATACACATACAGAAAGAAACCCACTTGCATGCAATGCATATAGCACTTGTCTAGCTGTAATTGATGCAAATATTCCTTAGAGCCTGCACATAACTCTCAGCAACATAACCACTTTCTGACAGAATGACTGCAGTTGTCTGAACCTCATCCTAACTTAATAAGGAAAGAAGCTTAGGTATAGTCTGGTCTGATCCTTAACTTTACCCACAGCAGTATCATAGAATTATAAAGCCTCGATTGAAAAGGACTACAATGATCATCTAGTTTCAGCCCCACTGCTATGTGCAGGGTCACCAACCACCAGACCAGGCTGCCCAGAGCCACATCCAGCCTGGCCTTGAATGCTTCCAGGAATGGGGCATCCACAACCTCCTTGGACATGTTCCAACTGCACCACCCTCTGAGTGAAAAACTTCCTCCTAATATCTAACCTAAACCTCCCTGTTCAAAACCATTCCCCCTTGTTCTATCACTATCCACCCTCACAAACTGTCATTCCCCCTGCTGTTTATATGCTCCCTTCAAGTACTGGAAGGCCACAATGAGGTTTCCCTGGAGCCTTCTCTTTTTCAGGCTAAACAAGCCCAGTTCTCTCAACCTTTCTTCATATATTCAGACTTTCTTCAGTATTTAAAAGACAGACTTCCATGCAGTAGTCTTATAACAAAAAAAACAGACCATCTTTTATTTTTGTTACCTCCATGTTTAATTAATGTTTGTGAACTTACAAAAATATTTGTGTTAAACAATTTTGTCTCAATCAACAAGTAGAATTAGGAACACATCAGGAACATCCGATTCTCTTTGAAAATATTTGGCTCCTGCACAGATCAACAAACAATTCAAGAGCTTGTTTGAACACGTTCATATTGCTACCCTGCCAAGTATTCGTTTTTTAAAATAAAATACGTAGTTCTTCCATTACTCAGTATAGGAATTCCTACAGATACTGATCAGAACGAACCTCCAAGTTTGAGTACAGAGCCAGCTTTTAATCACGTCTCCTAGGTGTCCATAAACACCTCAAAATTCTCAGACAGTTGTGCTGGTGTATCACACATGCCTATGCAATTTCCACCCAGCCCTCCAACTTGATAAGAGTGCAATGATGCTTCAAAAACATTCATTAGTACATCTGGAACATATAATTTGAAAAAACATAACAGTTACACTCTTCAGAAGCTGGTGTTTTTTTTTTTTTTGTTTTTTTGTTTTTTTGTTTTTTTTTGCCGCTTGGTTATGGGCCAAACAAGAATGATAACTGAACTTTTCCTCACTGTCTTTCAGAATGTACTAAACTGCTGTTTCTAGAAGCTAAGACATTATTAACGAAATCTTCCATCCAGTTCTAGAGAAGGCACAAATATTTCCAGCTATCTGAAAAACTTAAATGCACTAGAACAAATGGAAGTACTTGTAATGCTCTAGCTTTACAAAACAAAAACACCACCAACAACAAGAAGTTCTGGAATTCTTACAGTGATTAAAACCAATTAATTCACTAGGCCACAGCACGACAATATTTTCTGGCTACAGAAGCCCTACATTTCAACTTAAAAAAAAAAAAAGTAAACAATGACAAATATCATCTGCTCCTATCACTTTTCCAAACACAGAGATGATTTTTTGCACCACATTCAAACCTTGTAATCTGATAAGGGAAAAGGTCTGAGGATAAGACTTCCAGTTTGCCATCCTGTGGCACTCTACTGACACAGTCAACAGAACAACATTCTGCTCTCCCCAGACATGAAGCAAATACCTTTGACTTCTGCAGCACAAAGGAAGGATTGATGGCCAAAGCTTCTACTGTCTTTTGTTAAAGACAACTTTTCATTTATTTGAGATGTAAGTAACTCCAAGTACTGTTTTCATGTACTATGCATAATGCTTACAGAGTGGGAGTGTATCTCTATAGGAAGGACTGCAGTCTGCTTTGCGTTGCAGTCCATTTTCATGAGACAAAAGTGGGCATAACTTGCATCACTGATGTTCAGCCAGCTTCTAAGAAAAGTTAATAAACTATTTATGTGCACTAGAAAGGCAGATGTTCTTATGTAAAGATCCGTCCCAACAACACTGCTTCTTAGTCTGAAGCCACAGCATAAATTCCAGCAGCTTATCAGCGTGAATTGTCTCTCTTCAGATTTATCTGCCTTACTACATTACCAGCAAGTCTTGAAATGCAACAGTAGTGTTTTTTAAAGACCCTACTTCTAGTAGGGTCTAGTAGACTTCTAGTTCTAAAGGTTAAACAGAAGAAAAAAATGAAATGCAAGCATACTACCATTTATCACTTTCCCTTTGAAAACATCCCCATTCGCCTTCAGAATCAAAGTCAAAATTTTTCTGGTTAGGACATTTTCTGCATGAGAAAGCAATGCAGTCCACCAGACTCCTGCCAAACACTTGTTGACTTTCAGTATAGTCATTTCTCTGATGTGTATGACTAATGCACTAGCCTGAACTTTTAAGCCTCTTCCCAGTTTTTCTAGTTCAGAGCACAGAGTGAGGCAGCCACATCAATATTTTAATTTAATCAGAAATCAGGCTGCTACGAAGAACATCAAGCAGAGTGCCACAGATTAGAGCTGGATTAAATACAAAGGAAAAAACACATTAAAATGCTCTGGAATTAATTTCAACTTTCTTCCTATATTTAAAACTAACCTCCAGGCTTCATTTCGGAGAAAAAAGTAGGTTTCCAGGGAAATTTAATTTTCAGAAGTCTGGGTGGTGAGAAATAAGTATTCAAAATAGTCAAGCCATTAGAACAAGTGCATATTCCATTTAAAAGAAAACTGAAAGCCTGGTGTGCAAATACCTGCAACTAACTACTTGGCATTGCTGTTCTTCAAGAATAATTGTATGCTTGCCATGTGTAATTTCATATACTCCATACAGTTAATATTACTATTGATTCCAACCACATCTCAATTTTACAGACGGAACTTTAATGTGGGATTTATACTTCTCTTAGTATTTTCTCAGTCAAATTAACATTTTCACATCTTTCTGTATTCTGGAGCTAAATGTGTAGTTTCTTAAATGTAGTTTTTCACTCTCAGAGAGCAAAAAGCCTACTGTGACATTTTTTCTGTACACAGCCTGATCTTTTGTTTATCAGGATAAACAAAGCCGACCACTTTTATAAACAGAATTGGCTTCAAGTTTTCAGAAGCGAAGAAAACTTCACAGCAATGTAAGGATGACTGTGACAAATACCCACCAAAAGGATAAGGATACTGCCATTGTTCAGCAAGGCATGTATTTGTTCTGCACAGGACATAAAGTTTACCTGATACAAATCTCTCAGAAATTTCAGTATCAAGAACAGTTCTGTTCAAACTGTTTCAAGAACAGCTGCCATTTCCTTGAACTGCCTGAAGAAGTTCTGAAAAGCAAGAATATAAATTTCAGTTGCACAAAGAAAAGCCTAAACTTAAGTGCAAACTATCACATTAGGCAAAATCACTTTATGTTTCTCACATTCCTTCTTTCTCCAATTACAATCTGCATGTTGAACTGGAAGTTTGAACATTCCTTTTTGTGAGATGGTTGCCCTCTAGATGCATTAACTATTCAGTCGCACGCATGATGAATTATTTGTATGGTTGTGCTTATTGGTAGGAGAGGATGCTATGGGAAAACACTCGAAATAACTGCTAAACCTCAAAAGAAAAAAAAACACAACAAAACCTAAATACTTCTCAGGCAAACACTTCTATTCCCAGTTGAAATAATCCATATTTTCACACAGAGCAAACATCCCTTTCTCATATCAGCTGAACAGCAAACTACGAAGTAGGTTTCAACCAGATGGAATACAAGATTTCAGAACACTCAAGAATTTATAATACCTTCCTTAAATTCCCTTCTGTCCAACTGCCAGGACTTAACCTGAGGTTAGCAATTTCACAGAATCAGAATAGTCACCATTTTTGGTAAGGCAGAGGGATGGAATTGAGGACACTTTTAGATCTGCCTTTCCTGCTAAGTCAAAGTGTAAGAGAACAAACTGTTGCTGAATTAACATTTCAGGCTAGGTGGTACAGAATTAAATGTCACAAAATAGGTACTTATCTTCAGTATTTTAAACAATTATTTAGTGTTCAGTCTTTCAATTTCCGTATTAGTAAGCATCACAACTGTATATGAAGTACGCATTTGCTTATTCACAACTATGTCACCAAAAAGACTGAATCACATGAAAAGGGATGACAGAGGATTACAGACCTTGAACTGTGGGACCGTCATTTCAAAACATTTGTTGGTTATTTGTCCTGAGGGGTCTGCTACTTTTAGTGTCACTGTAACATACGGATACTTCAGAGACCTGCAGGTGTCAGAGCTCATTGCAACTCCCAGTTTCCATTTAATATCTACAAACTGCAGAGAAAAAAGTTATAGGAAAAAGTACTAAAGAAATCTAGCCTACTGTCGCTATAGTTTTGGACAGATGTTTTGATAGACAATATAGGACATTCGCAGCATATCCAAATAGGAAATAAACACACAGTCAGATATTATTCTGATCTCCTGTTCCCTTTAGTTGTGGAAAGAAAAATGATAATTTATTTCACTTAGTCTGTTTCACTTTGTAAAATACTGACAATATTCAAGAAGTTCTAGGAATAGAAGCTTAAGTGACAGAGTTCACCTGGCTTGTATATCATTTGTGTGTTTGACATGTTCTCTTTAGAAGCTTCTAAATCAAATGAAAACATGAGAAAAAGCTGAGTACACAAAAATTTCACAGAAGCAATAACTGAAAAAAAATGAAACTGTAAGTAACTGTTCTATATAAAGAATATTGTAAACACATTTCAGACTGAATAAGTTATCGTTTTTACCCTTCCATGACAGGTAGAAATATTTAACAAAGAAATAAGGTGAGCTTTCAGAAGCTTACTATCCAGCTTCAAACAAAGACTTCTTTTTCCTCATTATTTTTTCTAATTTTATACTCTTAACTGTTGGTGTTAAGAAAAATCTCAAAATGCATATGAACACTTATTTTTTTCAACAAATAAAAGAAATGCTGGAAATTGACAGAAGTTATCTTTAAAATAAAGCTTAAACTTAAGGGAGACAAAGAATAACGAATTCAAGTGCTGATGCTATCAACTCTAAAGAATAATTCAAATAACATTTACATAATTAGCTAGTACTATTGTCTGCCACTCACTGTCACTGTCACCTTCCCTACTGTCTTCCCACTGTCACTCACCTTCCCTAACAGCACTATGAAATGTATATTTATCATTCAAGCAAAAATATGAGACAGGATTTCAGTGTTCTTTATTGTACATATTTCTCTTAACTTGTCAAAAATCCGGCAACAAACAGCCAGCAAACTTCTGGGCAATCAAGGCACTGCTTTGTGCTTGACAATACAACAGGCACAGTGAAGCACTGCCAATTCTGAAAAATCATTAGTTCACATGCACTGTATTGTGTAGTTACCTGGCTCACTGTGGTCATATTTCCTTTATCTTCTGACACATCAACAGATTTGCCCTGCTCATTCCATACATGACGAATAACCTGTATCGCATGTTTAGGCAGCGTGTTGACTGTGCTGCCCAAGGCAGCAATGAGCTCCTCTGTAGAGAGATTGTTCCTGGCTGCTGTGCTGTAGGAAAATCCAAACAACACATATCTGTTTAATTCTCCAAGAATTTAAGACTATTAACCAGTATTATTAACTCTGAAATGTAGCAGTTTAATTAAACATTTAGGAGAAGCAATTTAAGAAACACCAAGAGGTATTTAAGGACCTCCAGGCAATGGTATAATTTGCACTAACAGGAGTCAAATGATGCAATAAACTCCCAAATGAAAAGGCAGTGAGTCTAGAAGAAAGGCCGCAAAAAGCACTGCTCAATTAACTCCCATGAAAACATCAAGCAAAAAAAAAAAAAAAGAAAAAAAAAAAGAGGGAAGAGCACTCTGGTTCCAAAGCTTACAGACAGGTTCTAAGAAGAACAACTGCCTCTCTATTTTTGTAGTTACTGAGTCTATATACGTAGGTACTACACTTTTTTAACCTTATGAACACAAACTAAGCCCTTTTCCCAAATCATTTTATTTCATACATGCTTAGGATGTTATGTTGTAACATTGCTATTAGGTTAATATGAAGGGGAAAAAAAAAAAAAAAAAAAAAAAAAAAGGAAGATAAAGAAAATACAAATTATTGTGTGCTTACCTAAACAAAAAGGACACAGTGTTAGTTATTTTTGCCAGGTCACCAACATTAACCTCAATCCCAGATGTCTGCAGTCTCTAAAGACAGGATGATCAAATAATTAAGTGATACCAACTTCTGAGTTTAAAAATTTTCTTATAAATACATACATATACACACACAAATAATTTGACCTGCAGAATGCATACATCACAATACATACCACTATTATGCTTGCTTTTAAGTGCTAATATCCAAACTTACCTGACACAGTTCAACTGTATTTACACCTGGGATCTTATGGTTAAGATGTTGAATTATCTGCTCACACTGCAAAGAAAATAAATTTGAAAATATTTTCAAAGCATGTTTTAATTAACTAGATGAGCAAGTCTGAAAAAAATCATAGAATGGCCTGAGTTGAAAAGGCCCACTGTGATCATGTAGTTTCAACCCCTTTGCTATTTGCAGGGTCACCAATCACCAGACCAGGCTGCCCAGAGCCACATCCAGCCTGGCCTTGAATGCCTCCAGGGATGGGGCATCCACAACCTTCTTGGGCAACCTGTTCCAGTGCGTCACCACCCTCTGAGTGAAAAACTTCCTCCTAATGTCTAACCTAGACTGTCCCTGTCTCAGTTTAAAACCATTCCAGTCCCCCTTGTTCTATCACTATCCACCCTTGTAAACAGTCATTTTAATACTTGGAGATTACAACAGCAACGAAAACTGGTTGACATGAAAATGGACAACAGGATGAGGTTTTAAATGGAAAATGAAGAATAAGGTCATGTAAGCAACTGAAATCAAAATCAAACCCAAGAAAAGTCAACTAATTCAGAACTTTTCAGTATTACCTCACATTTTGTTTCTTAACATGCCATTTTCATATGAATGAATAGCCATCTTCTTCAAGCACACAATGCTTTATGACACAGAGAAGCTGAATTTTTTTCTGGACTATCGAGCTCTATATCTCATTAAGACAACAAACAAAACCAAAACCTTAAGTATCTTCAGTAATGAAAACAAACTTTTAGCCATCACTCTGCTCTGGGAGGACTGGTCTATTTCATGTAAACCTACATCATACATACATAAGTTCCACTCTGCAACATGCAGAAAGCAGCGAGCTGAAGGAGGTTTGCTGAAATCTGTGTGCCTGAAGCCCTTCCATATCCCCCTTATGGTTCTACTTACTAGTTCTGCAAAGAAGTCTTGAGGTATCAAACTAATCTTATCTGCTGCACCACCAACATCTGAAAAACACAAACAGTAGTGACCAGAAGCAAGTCCTTTGAGCTTTATTAGCAATAAGTCATCTTTGTAGAAGTCCTAGGCTTGCATGGTTTTATTTACCTCAAGAGCAGAGCTTTATTTAACAGACTTCATCCTGAATTACATTAACAGATCACGAATGGGAATAACAGATACCTCAGAAACCCAAGCAGAGCCTACGCAATTGGACAGTTTGTCAGTCCTACAGTCAAACAGAAAATCCCCTTCCGCAAAAACTTCCCAGAAAGCCGGGCAGGCCAAGGGCTGCCCTCGGGCACTGAAGACCAGCAGCAACGAGCTGCTGCCCCCGAGCTCAGCTCACCGCAGCCGAGAGAGGGACCCTGTCCGGACCTCCTCCGGGCAGCAGGGACCCCCCATAAGCCGCTGAAGGAGCATCAGTCTCCCCAGGGCCCCTCGGAAACAGGCCGCACCGCTACCTGAGGAACAGGCTCTCATCGGCGCGACCCACCGAGAACAAGGAGCCCCCAGCCGGCCTTCCCGCTAACCCACAGACCCGGGGGCTCTTCCCTACTTCCCCTCAGCTCCAGTCCCCTCACCCAGCGCCTCCAGAGCCCGCGTCAGCAGCACAGCGGAGCCAGCAGCCATAGCACCGCGATCCCGACAACAACCCACATCCGCCACACAGCGTTCGGCGCTCTGATTGGCTCCGAGCGAGACGGGGGCGGAGCGGGGCAGGCGGCTGAGCAGGACGCATGCGCTGTCTTCTCGGCGCCAGGCTCAGGGAGGGTGGGGTTTGTGTGTTGGCGCCTTTTCAGGCTCCTGCTCGCTGGGCGTCGCCCAATAGGCTCAGGGCAGGCATGGGGGGGGGAGCTTGGGGTTCTCCTAGAATTATAAAGTCGTTAGGGTTGGAAAAGGCCACTGAGATCATCTAGTCTAACTGCCAATCCATCATCACCATGCCCACTAACCACTGTCCTTTAATGACACATCTGCATGTTTCTTGAACACCTCCAGGAAAGGGACATCCATAGCTTTTCTGGGCAGCATGTTCCAGCACCCCACTGTTGTCAGTGAAAAATGTCTCTGATGTCTAATCCAAATCTTCCCTTAGTTCAACCCCTCCTCCCCCCTCCTTGTCCTATTGCTATCTGCCCATGTAAGAAGTTGATTTCCCTTCTTTTTATAAGCTCTCTTTAAGTACTGAAATGCCGCATTGACGTTTCCCCTGACTTCTCCATGCTGAACAAGCCCACCTCCTTCAGTCTGTCTTTGTAGGAGTGGTGCTCCATTCCTCTGACCATCTCTGTGGCCTTCCCTTGGACCTGCTCATCCAACTTGATGTCCTTCTTGTCCTGAGGACTCCAGACCTGGACGCAGTACTCCAGATGGGGCCTCACAAGGGCAGAGTAAAAAGGGACAATCTCCTCCCTCTTCCTGCTGGTCCCCCTCTGTTGATGCAGCCTAGGATACTGTTGGCCTTTCTGTCTGCAAGTGCACACTGTTGGGTCATGTTAAATCTTTCATCTACCAGGACCCCTATGTCTTTCTCAGCACAGCTACTCTCAAAGTGTTCTTCTCCCAGTCAGTATAAATATCAGGGATTGCCATGATCAAAGTGCAAAACCTTGCACTCGGGCTTGTTGAATGTAATTATGTTCACATGGGCCCACTTTTCAAGCCACTTCTGGTCCTTCCTTCTGTTGTGTCAACTGCATCACACAGCTTGGTATCATCAGCAAACTTGCTGGGCATGCACTCAATCCCATCATCTATGTCACTGATAAAGATTCCAACAGGTTCCAAGACAGACCCCTGTGGGGCACCATTCATCACTAGCCTCCACCTGGACACAGAACCATTTACCAAAGCCCTCTGGCTGCTACCTTCCAACCAATTCCTTATCCACCGAATAGTCTATTCTGATATCATCACTCCATCATAGGATGATTGGTGAGGCATGATTTGCCTTTGGTGAAACCATGCTGTCTGTCTCAGATCACCTACTTGTTCTTCATGTGCCTCAATATATATTCCATATCTGTTCCATGATCTTCCCGGGAACAGATTGGTGAGGCAATTTCTGCACAAATCACACATGGTTGATGCAGCAGGCTATTAATTCCATTTAGTTTGTTATTAACCTGCACTGGATTTTGTTTGTATTCTCCAGGGATTAACAGTATTGGGTATATTAATCATGTGCTATTGAGTTTGTGTGCAGAACATAAGGTGTACTGGGCTTGTTACAGATGCATCTAGCAAGTATGCTTTATACAGGTGGATCATTGAATCTGGTCATCTGTGAGTGAACTGCAGTCCACGAATGATTTGCATAGGTCAAGTGGGTCTTCAGCTCAATGGGAAAATAGACAATATAAAACTGCAGCTAGAACCATCTTTAGCGATGTTTCTCACTGAGTGCAGTAAGTTTAGTGTGCAAGTGAAACCCTAAAACAACACTGATCCTTCAACAGTGCCAGTTTTTAACAATAGTAAATATACTTAGATTTTTTTCCTAGTAAGCAGTTTACTTTTTAGCTTTTTTTTTCTATGTTATAATGCTACAGTTTTGTTAGATCCACAGCAAGATTGTTTGTGACTGAAGAGTAAAATGTAACTCATCGCACAGTATTGCTGCCTAATTTAAAGTTATCTATTTCCAGTACATTTAAATGAAATAATTTGGAATATATTTCAAGCAACAGGAAATTATTGTGCAACATGATATGTGTGTTTATGAACTTCATACATTAAGGCACGTAGCCTCTCCCTTTTAAAGTATCTAATTAAAGTGTCAAAATACTTTTGAGAAATATGTGTTTTTATGACCTCATGACTGTCAAAACACTTGTGATGTTCATGCAGGTAAGATCTGCCTGTGATAGCAGGGACATGACTTAACCATCTTTTTGTTCTTAACTTAGTTAACTATTAAATACTTGTCTGTGTTAATACTTCTGTGTTACTGAAGTTTACACACTATTTATATTAGAATTTAATCAAGTGTCTCACTAATGCCTTTAGCAATATGACTAATATTTGTTATTTTTCATTCATTTTTCCAAGATGTGGAAATAATGTGAAGTTGAATGTGATGGTTTGATAATTATAGAATTACTCCAAATCATTTGCTGAAAATTTGTTTTGGGGTTATTTTCATAGATACAGAATCATGTAATGCCCTCATTTGGAAAGGACAAGACCAACTCCTGGCTCTACAGAAGACCACCTAAAATCCAAACCCTATGTGTAAGAGCATTGTCCAAACGCTCCTTGAACTCTGGCAGCTTGGTGCCATGACCACTGCCCTGGGGAGACCGTTCAGTGCTCAAGCACCCTCTGGTGCAGAACCTTTTCCTGATGCAGCTCCATGCCATTCTGTAGTCTGCCACAAGGCCTTCCCTCAGCCTCCTTTGCTCTGGCCTGAACAGACCTCAGCTGCTCCTCACACATCTTGCCCTTTGGACCCTTCATCATCTGTGTATCTCTCCTTTGGATGCTCTCTGATAGCCTTCCGTCCTTCTTAGATTGTAGTGCCTAAACCTGCACTTTACAGTAGAGCCTCACCTTGCAGGTGAGCGTGTCAGCACAGAGCAGAGCAGGACAACCTCTGTCCTCACCTGGTGGCTGTGCTGGTCCTGATGCATCCCAGAGTATGGCTGTCCCCTTTGGCTGCCAGGGCACACTGCTGACTGTTTTAAACCAGCACCTCCAGATCCCTTTCTGCATGACAGTTCTCCAGCTCCGCACCCCCAGTCCATACGGATATCCTGATGCAAAATCCAGTGCTTGCTGTTGTTGAACTCATGCACTTGGTGATTTCCCACCCCACCAATTTGACAAGATCTCTCTGTGAGGCTTCTCTGTTCTTCAGGGAGTCAACAGCTCCTCTAAGTCTGCAAACATATGCGTAATTCTTTGAATTTGGAGAAGCAGGTGGTTAAGTATTTAATGATTTCAGGTAGCAGTCCATCCACAGTATTAACTTGTGTTTAGACAGCTTTGCCTTTTGTAAATATAATTTCTGAAGCTCTGTGTGGCAGAGGAAAATAGGTAACGGCAGTGACTGCAAACTGAGAGTAAAGGCCCATCTTCTAGATAGAAAAGGAGTGAGAACTGAATGTGAGGAGACACATTGTATGGAAAGAGACAAATCTCATGAGACAGCAATAGACTGGATTGCTAAAGAGATGCACTATGATGTTATTTATAGGTCAATAGAGAATGTTCAGGCAAAGGCATGTAGCAATAGTCCTCCTTACTAGTAACAGGGGTAAAATAAAAACTAGGTAATTTACTCCATTTCACAAATGTAATGTACAGAATAGGGCACTATTTACATCAGCCCTCACTAAAGAACTACACGAAGTTCTGCATATAGCTCTTCAGATAGAAGGCAGAAAGCATTTCTGGTACCAGCTGCATTTCTCCAATGCCAGGGCCTCAGCTGTGTGGTGTGTATAACCCCTGCCTCTCCTGGCCTCCTGTCACCTTGCTACTCTGTCTCTGCAGTAACACTGCTCTCATTATACTCCCTGTTGTGGGATTGTGGTTTGCCTGTAAGCTGGCACAGCATCTCTTTGCTACGCCCTGTCTGCTCACTCTGGGCATAAGCACAGCTCAGCCACTGGCATTCTGCTCTCTGAATCTCTTTATGGCAGTGAAAGCTGGATGGGCCTAGGGGTCTGGATTAAGGCTATCATAAAAAGTTTTTCCAGGCATCCACCCCGTGAAATGAATGTGCAGCTGCTCCCTCGCACTCTGACCCCATGATGACGAGCAGGTGGCAGTTCCCTTGCAGTCCACTGAAGGGACATTGGTGTCGCTGCCTTTTCTACTTACAGCTTCTTGCCTCCCACTGGCTGCCTGATGGCAGTGCTTCAAGCAGAGGGCAGGAGGTAGGCACCCTGGCTACCAGCACTCCATCCATCTTTCTATATTATACTTCGCTTGATCTTAGCCAAAAGGGCAAAAAGTGACCATATATGCTTCTGGAGTGGGAAGACCTGAGAGGATTCACAGCTTTAAAAGAGAAAATGGAGCTCAATACCGGAGTGAGGCAACTTGCTGCCACTGCTTTGAGTGCACCGTAAAACAGGTTCCCTTTGAACCATTTAAGAAGTCCCACTATCCTCTGCTGCATGTCTGCGAATGTGTTTTCTTAAACACTGTTCTTTTCAACTCCGCATTCCTTTTCTTACGGGTTTGCCCTGCTGATGAACACGGAACCGCGGAACTGCGGAATGGACCTTAAACACCATTCCGTTCCAACAGCTGCTGCTGCTGCCGCCGCGCTCCAAGCGCTCTCTGGGCGGAGCGGAGCGGGAGGCGACTGTGGGACGCAGCGCCGTGAAGGCGCCCCTCCGTGGCAGCCGCTCGCTGCGCAGGTTCCAGTGGGAGGGAGCACGGGGCGGGGCGGCTGAGGCACCACCCTGTGTCCCGCTGGGAGAATCCATTGCCGGGGGGAGCCGACGGGCGAGCAAGGGGAAATTTTGTGACCGTTTTTGTGTGGAAGTATCCGCGGGGAAAGGCGTTCAAAGGGTTGCCGGGCATCTCGCTCGGCTGTTCGGCAGGGCGGGCGAGCTGTGCGTGGGGGTGCGGGAGGGCTGCTTTCCCCCGCGGCTCCCCCCGGTGTCGGTCGGCTCGGTGGCGCGGCCCCGGGTCAGCGCTGAGGCGAGGAGGCGCCGGGTGCTGTCAGCATCGTGCTGCCCGCCGCCATGGAGCCGCATCGCTGGCTGCCGCTGGAGGCCAACCCCGACGTGAGTGCCG